TCTTTCTGTCAGATCAAACTTCATTATTTCCACATCATAATGTTTACAATAACTTTCAAAATTTAAGATTTCACTAATGGAGTGAGAAATTTCATCATCCCAAATAAACAGATCACAACTATTGTCCATCTGCAAACAAAAAAATACATTAACCCCATAAAAGGTTTAGGTATTTTACAAAACTCATAGATTCAAGCACTTACCCCTGCATTCATACATTTCCAGAATTTCCTATTACGATTTTTTATGGTGTTAGCAAACCACATCTTCATCGAACGACAACATTCTCACTAGGAACCTTTGAATGCTCGTATGAATTGCAACTTTCAACACTCTTGCTAGCATCCATTTGAACGTCGGGAAACAAATTGGGGGAAGAAGCGATAAAAGAAATGGTTGAAGATGATAGGGAGAGAAGAAATGAGCAAGACAGTAGGGACAAAAGAGATTGAGGAAACGATTTTAAGTGGAAAGAGTATATGGCGAAGACGACAACTCCATCTTTCTGTAACCCTATATATAACCAGTCCACAGTGGCATACATTAGAGTCAGCAAACAGATTCTGGCCACGTCTGCATTTCAAATGGAATCTTGGGCTAAAAGTTTTTTGGTTATGGAATCTATGTTTATTGAGGGGCGAATTTTTTTTTTTAAAGGGGGTAAATCAAATATCGCTACTATTGTAGTGGGGGTAGAAGGCATTTAACCCAACTTTTAATAATAAAAATAGAAATTTTATATAAAAAAATATTATCATTACAATTATTTAACATACAATTTACAAGAGTATCATCAACATGACGGTCCTCACATTCCTGACTCAATAGATTTACAGTGACATGTTAAAAGCAGTAAATAAAAAGCACGAATTCATGGTAAACATATTAAAATTTAGCATATAAATTGAACCTAGAATGATGAATTGAAGATGAAATTTCATTAATAAAATTACTCAAAGCGAGACTTTATCCGGTACAGCTAAGTGAAATATAGAGACTACAATTGAAACTTACAACAATAGAAATACAACTACTTTGAAATTGAAAATTCAACAACCAAGAACTCAAAAATATGTAGAATTTAGAGTGCATAAATACCTCAATATGAGTTGTTTACGATTTTACAAGTGAAATTTAATGCTCAGACAAAACTTGGATCTCAAAAACTAATTCTAAAGTCATATTTATAGCCTAAAACTCGTGCAGAGACAATGAAGATAATGCTGGAGTGGGAAAAACTGATCTACTGAAAGTGGGCAAAAGTTCTGGAAACAATTTTATGACAGGCGTCACGCAGCTTGCGTTCTACACGTCACAAGCACGACGAGCGTCACTAAGGCGAATGTCAACTCTTCATTCTTTTTGCACTAAACTCTCTTGCTCTGTATGACAGTTTCCATGACGACCATTACTTGTCACCCCACGATCGACGTCATGGTTGGGCATAGCCCATCATGACAACCTGAAATGCTTATTACTTTTTGTCGTTTTTGCCATTTTTGTTGTTTTTTAGCGCATAGACTTCTACATAATTAATACTTGAAATGCACAACAAAAAACCAACATAACACTACAAAATGCATGCCTTTTTTCGTAAAACTATTGTGAATTGAGATAAATAAATGGTGCAATTTACATGTTATCAATCGTCCCCGCATGAGCATACTCCACTCTCAATCGATTTCCCATTGAAATTTTTTCTACCACTATGTTTTGACAAATTTTTCACGAGTTCATACAATCACCAATCCATAATAATGATGAGAAAAATAAATATCTTATTTGGATCTTGACTTTATACAACTTAATGTCAAACTCTTATGTGAAATCTTTACTCGATTCTTGCTTCTTGAATCTTCTAGCTTCACAACTCTGCTCCAAGTCTTCGTGTGTGGCAATCATCCTTGATCCCACTGATTTTTTAAGCAATGAATTGTCTAAAGATTGAAAAGAACTCTTACCCTATAAGTAGGCTTCCATATGACACTACAAAGTTTAATCTAGAGAGAATAACTCTTACCCTATCTGGAATTTGTCACTACCAGTCACAACAACCACAATCTTGAAAGCTTCCTTAAAATCTTTACCAAACCTTCAAGAACAATTAGTATTAAGACACATCTCCCTCAACACTAATAATTATCCATGATCAATATTTGAAATCAAACTAAAGGTTAAAGATGAAAGAAATTTTAGTTTGCAAGAGTTTTTGAGTTTAAAAAAATGAGAGGTTGTTGATTATGAATTTTTTTGTTGTTGAAAATAAGGTGAAAAAATGAATTTATATATGCTGGAGATTATCCATAAAAGATGGTGAAAATGGTTGTTAGATTCAAGTCAAGAACATTTTATGATTTGAGTCAAATGAGCAACTTGAGTGAAACAAGATCAACATAAAGAAAAATGACCAATTTCTCGTGATTCGAGTCATGTTCTAAATTTGATTCGAGGCACAAAGACTCATGATTCGATTCATGTACAAAGCTTAATTTGAATCAAATTGGAAGGATCCAACAAGGAAAATGTGAAATACTTTATGATTTAAGTCATGTAGAAAATGTAATTCAAATCAACAGAGGCAGTGGCTAACATGCGATTTGTGATTCGAGTCATGTACAACTTGTGATTCGAGTCACATTGTTACATGATCTGAATCATGTGTAAACCGTGAATCGAGTCATAAACACTATAATCTTTATATTCTCCTCTATTTGAGTTGATTTAAATCATGGATTATTAGTGACTCAAGTTATACACAACAAATCTCAAATTTTCAAGTTTTTCAAAATAGTTTTGAGATTTTATTTCCCACATAACTCAAATAAACTTCAAATATGGTTCTTGTTCCATTAACTCAAGCAATTGATTAAAAACATAATGATCATACTCAAATACAAACAACCCAATTATGCATGCTAACACAAAAGATATATAATTGTGAAAGAGACTCAATAAATAATAATAAATGAAACAAAAGAGACAAAACAAGCAACACAATCATATCAGGGTTTTCCCCTGAATATATTAGAGACATGCAACTTCAATTGTCGCCATCCACTCTTGTACCTAGCATCTTCAAGTCACGGTTAACAGGAGGGCTTCATCCCCTACGCCTTAGGATACCAATGGTAACAGCAATCCCAATGCCTTGGAGGAGATGTGTACCGCCATGGAAGAACTACACCGACAAAATCAAACACCAGAGGACAATGCCCACAACATTAAACATCACCGACAAAAATCCAATCCCCCAGAGAAGATGTAAGTGCTAGATCCCAAGCCACTTTATGATGAGATATGAGCCACACATGTCCTTGGAGGATTTAAACCCCATCTTTGGCCAAATTTGATGGGTGCACTGATCCCTATGAGCACATCGGCTTTATCAACACACAAATAGAAATCTTTGTGGCACCTGGCTCCCTGATGTGCAAACTATTATCTGTCACCTTCAGGGACGTCACCCTTTGATGGTATATGGGTTTAACTCATGCCTCCATTACCAGCTACCAGGAGTTGGTTAAGAAACCATTGCATCAATTCGCCGCTAGCAGTCACATGAACTTGTTGCATTTTAGATCAAGAACCTCTTTTCGCCTTGTTGTTTTGGGTGCAAACATTGTACACTTGCTTAATGTTTGAGACACTTTCATGTGTTTTTCTTTTCAAAGTTGTAAGTATGTTTTTTGGCTAAACCATGTTCAACGTCATGTCAATGACACATTTATTCTATTCAGAATTCATATGACATATAATGGGGTGATCAACTAACTTATAACACAAATCATGATCATGTATACAATAAATTACAATAAATGTCCATGTATTAGTCTCCTTGAGGTACCCACACAACTTAAAGGACACTCATATTTCCTCATTTTAGTGTCATCGCGTTTCAACTTTCAGATAAGTGCTATATACTTGCCACTTATTTCATATTTCATCGTCATAAATGCCCATCCTATATCATAACCAAAATCTGACCTCCCAATTACAATATCAAACCCTAACTTTGCAGCCTTTGTGCGAACCCATTGAAACATATATTCATCATTCATATATAAAAATTCTTGTTTATTTGTAAAAGTTTTCCAATATCTACATGGACATCGCTCATTTTAACATCCACAAATAGATTGTATTGAAGACAACATCATAATGCACCATAATTACAATCAATCATAAAATAAACAAATTCAAATTCCGTAACAGAATAATCCAAAATTCAATTTTCGGACAAAGTATGAACATAATTCAAATTTTGAAATCTGGTCGCAACATACATTTTTCAGCTTAAAAAACAAGATGATCTAAAACAATGAACAATGTAATACACATACATTACTTAAAATTCCAGACTATTTTACTCCTTTTGGTTTCAAAATACAGAAAATATTATTTTGAAGTAAAAATTTTGAGTGACAATGAAAAGAGATTTTTATAGAATTTTTTTAAAAATAAAGTGTTTTGATCATGAACAACACAAATAGAGTATATATATATATATATATATATATATATATATATATAAAGTGACAACGGAATTGTTTTCCGCTTGAAATTCTAGAAATTGAAATTTGGATTGAGATGTCTTTGTTATGAGATGATTTTGTTGTAAAATGAGTGTATTTAAATTTTGAAATCCAATGTATACGACTGGTATTTTAAGATTTTTATAGGGTGTGTAATTACTCCAAATCTAGAATGATCGGCCCAACTGGAAATAATACGTGTCTAGGTCCATGCAGTTTTTAGATTTCATCCTCCCGCCACTAAAATCAAAAAAACAAATGCGATAAACATTCCCTCGCATTTTTTTAAGCCGAATAATATAAATATATAAAAAAGAAAATAAATCAAAACCCTTCACCGCTAAACTCCACAATTACCATATTCCAAATCTTCCAGGAGAAGTTTTTGGTTTCAAAAATAAAAAAAGGGCAAATTTGCTTCTTTTTCATCTACACCAAATCTGCAACTTGGCTTCAATTTCTTCTCAAATGCTTGAAACCAGTCACTCACCGCGAGTCTTTCGCGGCGTTCATTTCTGTCTCTTCGGTTTCGACCCTCTCACAGAAAGCAAGGTTTTAGTTTTTCCTCTTTTCTATTTTCTTTTTTTTTTGCTTTCGATCTAGAAGGTTCTTTTTTATTTAATTTGATAAATTGCTGTTTTTTGTTGTGTAGATACGATTCAAACTTGTGAATGGCGGTGGAATTGATGCGGGGAAGAACAGTGGGAATTGTACTCATGTTATTGTTGATAACCTTGTTTATGTGAGTTCGATTTATCTTTTTTTTTTTGTTCCTTTGCTTGTTTTTGCTTAATTTGGATTCAAGGAAGTCAACTGTTTGTGTGTGTAGGATGATCCCGTGTGTGTCGCTGCAAGAGAGGATGGAAAGACGCTGGTTACGGCTTTGTGGGTTGACCACAGTGCTGATATTGGCACGCCTGTTGATGCTACCTCGGTTTGTTTCTTCTTTCTTTCGTTACGTTGTTGTTAGGATATAAATGATTCCTTCACCGAAATGAATTTATTGGAGGTATAGTTTGAGAATGACATTGTTTGGTTCTTGAAGATCTTTGATGTATAGGCTTGGTTAGTAGTTGGTTCTTAGTACTACTAAACTTGTATATACTTTTTACATTTCACATAAAAAAGGATTAGAAATGATTGAAGTTGTTCACACTTCAATGAATTTATGTATAAAAAATTGGGCATAATATATATCAATTTTATTTTTAAATTATTTTTACACTGTTAAGAAATTCTTGAACTTTAACAAATCATTTTGAGAACTTGTTGCAGATTTTATGCATGTACTTTCTGACTTTGTAGGAAAAATTTCTTGAAATGTCACCTACTAAGCAAGTTAATTGTGTTTTCCATTTACTAGGTTATGTACAGACCGCTTAAAGACTTGAATGGAATTCCTGGTGCAAAAAATTTGTTTGTCTGCTTGACTGGTTATCTACGCCAGGATCGGGAAGACATAATGGTGAGCATCTGTTATACTGTCATTTTTAATTTGCTGAAGAGCTTATGCACATTGTTATGTAACAGTTCTTGACTTCACTATATTTTCTCTATTCAGACTATGGTTGGCTTGATGGGTGCATGGTTTTCTAAGCCATTGGTGGCGAACAAGGTTACTCATCTTGTATGCTACAAATTTGAAGGTGTGTTTTATATCTGTTCTTGGTATTTGCAATCAAGAGCATACCGATACTGCTTTTGATCAATTCATTGCTTTCACTTATAGATTATTGATGGAGTAAACCACCCATTTTATCTCTGAATTTAAACATTCTCTCCTACTTACAGCTTCGTCCCTCTAAGTAAATGAAAATAGTATGTAGTAAGTTAGTATTCCTTAAGTTTTATAAGTAGTCCCAACGTTTTGTCGTATCTGTATCTTTAGTTCTTGCTCCTATATTTTTAAATGTCACAAAACGATAGGGACTAAAGTGATAGATGTGACAAAGTGTTAGTGACTTGTGATCATTTTTCATTAACTTGAGAGACAAAGTAAGCGATATGGTGTAATTTCAGGGACAAAATTGGTACTTCGTTCATTATTGATGTGTATGAATATCATTTCATGCCTCCTTTGTTTTAAATTCCTTTTTTAAATTTGACTTTCAATTTAAAAACATTTTTTAAACTTTGGTATATAGGGGAAAAGTACGAGCTTGCAAAGAGAATGGGCACAATAAAGCTAGTTAATCATTGTTGGCTGGAAGATTGGTATGTATGCCTTATCTATTGCTTCACTTGGAATTACGAGATTCATCACTTTACATGGATATAGATGAATTCTCATGTATTGAAGCTCTTACAAGTGATCGGTTCAAATGATTACATTTTTCTTTGTTTTCCAAGTTTAACTTGCTGTTTATTTCTTAAGCTTGAAGGATTGGGTGCTTCTTCCTGAAGACAAATATAACAAGAGGTTAGGCATTGTACCATAGTATCAATAAAAGTTAATTATCATTTATAATATGTTTTTATCACGTAGCGGGCAATGTAATTGTTGTGTTTCTCCTCTAACGTACAAACATTCATAAATGTAAAGGAGTTAGACAACTAGATGTAGAAAAAGACCTCAAATAACAGTTAGAGAAACTATTAAACTATTAAGAAAGATCTTGAGGTTAACGAACTAGATAGAAATCTAATCTTTGTATAGTTATACTTTCAACCGATTGATTTTAAAGGAATTAGATGAATTACTTTAATAGGCATACAATATATAATTGAAAATACATGTTATATTATTGTTTAAAAACTTTAAGATCCGATGCAATCATTCATTCTTTTCTTAAGATGTCATAATCATTTACATGTTTATTTCCCTTGGCTTTCCCATCTTATCCATTTTCAAATAATAACCCAACTTTATTTCATTCTCAAACAGTGGTTTTGAATTGGAGACAGTGGTGGAAGAGGCTAAGGATTCTGAGGACGAGGCTGAAGATTCCAAGCTGGGGCAATTAGGGGGAAGAAATATAAGCAAAAGTCCCCCTGGGTTAAAATTCGGTACATCTGTGACTCATGGACTGTCCAAAACTTTAAGAGAGGAGGCATCAAATGCCGTCCCAGATTCTACTGGTCCACAGGTCTTGCCAAACGTCAATATTGGTGAAGATCCTTCAACTACAAGAAATAAGAAGAATTCTGATCAAGATGCAGACTTGAATAATATTGGTGACCTGAAGGTAAGCTGTCAGGTTCCCAATGTTTCTTGGTGTTCTACATCATGTAAGCTACCTGAATCATATGTTAAGACCATTGACTCTTGAAATGCTGTTTTTCCACAGGCACATGGCTTCCAGGATGTAGGCATTACTGGAAATACAAGTTCATCTGCTCAGCAACCTAATCTGCGCGATGACACTTTGGAGACCAAGAAGTTAAGTCACACAAGATCAAATTCTACAAATGCTGATGGACTTGGACATTCGAATGAAAAGCTTGGTGCTGCGAGTTATTCTAGGAAGAATCAAAAGGGGTTTACCTTTCAAAGGGTATCAGACGAATATGAAGGTAGAGAAGGCAACAACCTTGAAACCCCTTCCACCAAGATAGAAAGGGCATGTGAGGGGATCAAGTCTGGTTGTGTTGAAGGTTCTGGGAAAGAATCTGCTGTTATTCAAGAGGGTGATGGAAATAATTTATTGCCTCAAAAGAGGACAAATGAAGCTGCTGCTTCTACCAAATTAAAATCAAGAAAGATCACTGGTAATGCAAAATTGTCTATTGAAAGGACACCGCTGAAAAATGGTAAATCTCAAGGATCAAAAGTCCCATCTGTGGTTGATGAACCACCTATGTCTGATGGCTTTCTGTCTGTTGATAAAGATGGTATAAATAACTCAAATACTTACTTGATTGCTAAATCTGCAGCTTCTGCCTCTAACTCAGTGGCAATTAATAAGCCTATCTCAGGAAATGCAGAGTCGGCTCAATGTAATAATGCTTATCTGAATTCAGCACAAAAGGCTGTTCAGAGCTTAAGTAAGTCTAAAACTACTGGTGAGCCTGATATAACTGGTTTTGGATTGGGACAAGGTGATAACAAAGCAGAGGAACATAATATCACTGCAAAGCTTGATTTTTCATCACCAGGAAAGAAGTCAAAGAATGAAGGGTTTGCTGGTCTTGATGATTGGGGTTTAAGCAATGAAGAAAACGATAAGCTGGTTAGAAAGTCACCCCGCAAAAAATCAACTGTCAAGAGAACTTTGGGTTCTAGACCCAGAAAAGGTGTTAGTGCTAAACTGAAGAGTTCAGTTTGCTTGAATAAAACTATGCAGCAAGATGAAGGTGTAAGTTCTTCCAGTGGAAGCAAAGAATTAGCAACTTCTGGTGCTAAGAAACGTCAGGCATCACCCCCAGTCCTTGATGTTAATAAATTGATGGAGCAAAAAGTGGTCAGTGAACATGCCGAAGATGCTGGTGGCAGAACTGATATTTTGGATGACGAAACAGAGGCTCCAGATGACAAATTTGAATCTGAGTTGGGAATGACTGCTGATGAAGAATTGGTTCCTCTTTCAAAAAAACTTGACACCTCAATGGAAGAGAAGTTAGAAGCAGTTGAACCTGATAAAATATGTGAAGAAGCAATGCCTCCTCAAAAGTTCACAAACGAAACTGAAAAACAGAAACTACCTTCACTGTTAGACCCAACCTCAAAGTTAAAAGTAAAGCATCAAGCACTAAAGCGTCCTGCTAGTAAAACCAAGAAACCTGCAGCTGCAAAGAAAATAGCGAAAACTGTAGAGGCAGTATCTGGGGAGAAGATTCCTAATGAGACAAGGGATGAGGCAGAGATTAAAATCCTGCCTCATCTAGAAGAGAAGCTTGAAGCAGCTGAACCCGATAAAAAATGTGAAGAAGCAGCGTCTCCTAAAAAATTCACAAATGAAACTGAAAAACAGGAACCGCCTTCATTGTTAGACCCAACCTCAAAGTTAAAAGTAAAGCATCAAGCAATAAAGCGTCCTGCTAGTAAAACCAAGAAGCCCACAGCTGCAAAGAAAACAGCGGAAACTGTTGAGGTAGTATCTGGGGAGATGATTCCTAATGAGACAAGGGATGAGGCAGAGATGAAAATCCTGAAAGAGATGTCTGTACCTTCTGATATAAAAAGCCCTGCTAGTAAAACCAAGAAGACCACAGCTGCAAAGAAAATAGCGAAATCTGTAGAGGCAGTATCTGGGGAGGAGATGATTCCTAATGGGACAAGGGATGATGCAAATATAAGAAACCTGAAAGAAATGTGTGTACCTTCTGATATGAGTGAGAACTCAAATGCACCAAGAAATAAGCCAGAGAATTTTGTTGAAGAGGAGAAGGAGAATAGACCAAATATCGGAGAACACGATCTAGTGGAGGAAAGAAGTGTTGGAAATCGAACTATTAAATCTAGTATTAAGCCAGCAAATATAAAGTCTAAGAAAATGAAGCACAGTTCATCTATACCAGAATTTAATGCAAGAGTAAGAACTGAAGCCACATGTTTTATATTAAGTGGCCATCGCCTACAAAGAAAGGAGTTTCAACAAGTAATCAAGCGTTTGAAAGGAAGGGTTTGCCGTGATTCTCATAATTGGTCTTATCAGGCAACACACTTTATTGCCCCAGATCCTATAAAGAGGACAGAGAAATTTTTTGCTGCTGCTGCATCAGGAAGGTAAGGAATAGCAGGCATATTAACACATTAAGTTTGTATGACCTGCTCCTTGTTACTGACAGTGTGTTCAAGCATATAAATAGTCTAACTAGTATTGGGTGGAATGCAGGTGGATTCTTAAAACTGATTTCTTAACTGCCAGTAGCCAGGCAGGAAAATTCATACCAGAGGAGCCTTATGAGTGGTACGAAAAAGGTTGCACTGACGATGGTGCTATCAATATGGAGGCTCCAAGAAAATGGCGGCTGTTGAAAGAAAGAACTGGACATGGTGCCTTTTATGGGATGCGCATAGTTGTTCATGGCAATTGTTTTGTTCCACCTTTGGTATGTTTTCCTTGATTTATGTTGTATGTTCTTTTCACCTTCATATGGTAATGAGTATAGGCTTTACAACTAGTCCTCATAATATGATGCAGATTGTCTTCCAAATACAAGTATTGACGAGTTTGACACATGTTTCTTATCCAACTTAATTGTTTCACAGGATACTCTGAAGCGTGCGGTCAAAGCTGGAGACGGAACAATATTGGCAACATCTCCTCCTTATACTCGCTTCCTTGATAGTGGGGTCGACTATGCCATAGTTAGCCCTGGCATGCCAAGTGTTGATTTGTGGGTCCAAGAGTTCTTAAAACATGAGATACCTTGTGTCTCAGCAGACTACTTAGTTTGGTATGTCTGCAAGCCCGGGTCCTCCCTTGATAGACATGTACAGTATGACACTCATGTTTGGGCGGATAGGTCATTCGCAAAACTTCAAATTAAGGCAGAAGAAATTATTGAAGAGGCCATTCCTCCTAAGGATTGCAATGATGGTGAAGATGATGATCATAATGATGATGATGATGTAGCTTGCCAAGTATGTGGCTCCCAAGAAAGAGGAGATGTCATGCTGATTTGTGGTGATGAAAGTGGATCTGTTGGCTGTGGAGTGGGTACCCACATTGATTGCTGCAATCCTCCGCTTACAGCTGTTCCTGAGGAAGATTGGTTTTGCCCAGAATGCAGTAGTGCCCAAAAATTGTCAAAAAATCCCAAGAAAAAGAAAAAAGGTGCATTCTCTTCATCAAAGACTAAGTGAGTCTGCCACCGTGTATCTTATTTTTATCAATCCATTAGCCCCTAGTCATTGTGCGTTACACTCTTATTGTTTTTTTTGTGGGTACAATACACTTATTGTTCTTATATAGCTGTCGTAATAATTATGTAAAAATCCTTTTCAGATTAACAAAATAACTTTTATTTACATGCTTGGGTGACACTTCATGGATTCAGTGGATAAATAGTAAATTGAAGTTACACATGCATATGACAATAAGAAAAATAAAAACTCAATGAGGGGTTGTATTGGGTTATTATTACTTGGATATATATAGAAATTAGTTTACAATATTTTGTTGCGAGGAAGCGCAAATACAATGGAATAATTCAACAACACAAACTCATTCAAATATTTCAAATATCAAATACAATGACAGTCAACAAAAATACATTAAATAACATAACACAATTTTAGTATAGAAAAATCTCTGTTAATTAGGAGTAAAAAATTACGGGATAGATTACTTAAAATCTCTATTATAACCAACAATGGGTGCAAGTAAGGTTCTCTCTAACACTAGTTAGAGACATATATAAACATCATTAAGATTTGAAATCAATCTTGGAATATAACAAGTATCAAGAGAAAATAAAACAACCCAAAACACCAAGAAATTCATACCTTAAAGATGGATTTGATAGACCGACTTAGAAAGCTCCGAATCCAATCAAAATCGTTCAGAATGTGCTCCTATGAGTCATGAACGCTGTGTCAAAATTTTAGAATGATTTGACCGTTGGATTTTGCGCAAACTCTGATTTTCTGAGGCTGATTTATACATAATTGGGGCTGCGGAAATAGGGTTTTCTCTCTAACTTTTCTTGTTGTTTTTCTCACACAATGAATGAATAACCTAATTCTCTTTGTTGGTAATAACAAAGGGATAAACACACACGAGCCACTAATCCATATCCATTTGGGCCTCTCAAAATAGGAGGGATAACCTAATAAACTCCTCCGACCAACTAGTTGGAGGACAACACCAATCCGACTACCGTGCGATAAAACTCAAACTTTCCTCTAGGAAACACCTCCGTCAACATATTCAAATCATTGTCATCGGCGTGAATCTTCTCAAGCTCCATCTACTTGAAATCTAATGCATCACGAGTCCAATGATAATGAACATCAATATGCTTCGACCTCAAGTGAAAGGAGGAATTCTTCGATACGTGAATGGCACTTTGATTATCACAAAATAAGACATATTTTTCTGGCTTCACACCAATTTCCATTGCAAATTCCTCAATCATAACAATTCTTTTGACGCTTCCACGACGACTATAAACTCGGTGTCGATAGTAGAGAGTGGAACACACTTTTGCAATTTTGATTGCCAAGCCACAGCTCCCCCGACAAAAGTCACCATATATTCTGAAGTGGATTTTTGACCATTTAATTCGAATCTGTATATCCAACCAACATAGATTTCTTACATCCCAAAGTTAATCTCAAATTCAAAGTACCACGCAAATATCTAATCACCCACTTCACGACCTCCTAATGATTTTTTCTCGAATTTGAGAGATAACGACTCACCATTCCTACGACATGAGCAATATCGAGTCTTGTACAAACCATAACATACATCAAACTATCAACGATCGACAAGTACAAAATATTCTTCATACTCAACTTTTCTTCATCCGTAGATGGACACGGTTTATGATTAAGCTTGAAATGAGAAGCAAGTGAAATGCTCACAACTTTAGCATTATCCATACTAAAACTCTTAAGGACTTTCTCCATATATATTTCTTGTGACAAGTATAACTTCTCATTTCGATCTCGAATAATTTCAATACCAGAAATTTTTTCGAGCCTCTCCTAAATCCTTTATAGCAAAAGATTCACTCAAAGTTTTTTTCAACTCTTTAATTCTTGAAATATTCTTTCCAACAATTAGCATATTATCCATATAAAGCAAGAGAAAAATGAAATCATCTTCGGAGAAATTATGAAAAAACGCACAATGATTGGCCTTAGTCATCTTGTATCCATGTTCAATCATCACTGAGTTAAACTTTTGATACCATCGGCGAGGTGCTTGTTTCAAAGCATAAAGACATTTTTACCAATTTTCAAATATAGTATTCTTTGCCTTTCTCTCGGAATCCATCTGGTTGCTCCATGTAAACTTCTTCATGTAGATCACCATGAAGGAAAACCTTCTTCACTTTCATTTGCTCTACTTCCAAATCAAGACTAGTGGCTAACCCAAGAACCACTCGAATATATTGCATATTCACAATCAGAGCAAAACTCTCGCCAAACTCAATACCTTTCTGTTGTTTAAAACCTTTTACCACCAAGAGAGCCTTGTATCTTCTTTGAGAAGTACACTCATCTTGCTTAACCTGATAAACCCATCTATTCTTTAATGCTTTATTACTCTTTGGAAACTTCACTAACTCAAAGATATTATTCTCACGAAGTGATTTCATTTCATCCTCCATGGCATTTATCTACTCATTTTTGTTCTCATCCTCCAAAACTTCTTTAAAACTTTCGGGTTCTCCACCATCAATAAGAAAAACATACTCGTTTGAGGGGTATCAAACAAACGGCCTTTTATCACGAATAGACCGCCTCAACTCATTAGAAGCAACTGGTTGCTCAATACTTTCAATATTTTGATCAACCTCATTTTCAACAACGCCTTCCGTAGAACCTACATAAACAATATCGTTAGGATTTAAAACATTATCAACATTTAAATCCATACCTTAATTTTAAATTGGAACATCTTCGAAAGTGACAGGTGTTGGAGCAATAATATTTGAGTTCATATCATTTCTTCATCTTCAAAAATAGGATTTTTATTCTCAACTTTGTCGATGTCCTCAATGGTATAATCCTCCATGAATACGACACCATGACTACGAATAAGCTTTCGTTTAACCAGATCAAAGAGTCGATATCCAAACTCATGAAGTCCACACCCAACAAACACATATTTCTCCGACTTCTCATCCAATTTCGATCTCTCATCCTTTGGAATATACATAAGTCATGATGCGCTCAAACACCCGAAGATGGTCGTAGGAAATATCTTTACCACTCCAAACATGATTTGGCACACCAAACTTCAACGAAACACATGGAGTGAGGTTTAAAAGATGTACAACTGTGCTCAACTCTTCTCCCCAAAAGTAGTTCGGAAACTTTGATTGATAAAGTAAACATCTCACCCTTTCCACCAAAGTTCTATTCATTCTTTCAGCTAACCCATTCAATTGTACTGTCTTTGGAGCAGACTTTTGATGACATATGTAACACCTTGAATTCTAGATTAATTATTTAATTAATTAATTTAGCATGATTACATGAGTCAATATGAATTGTTTGATATTTTGATGATTATATGTGAGCCTTTATGGTAATTTGTGAAATTATGGTGAATATGAAGTGTACCATAATGATTGAGGTAAACATGATGTTTGAATGTGATGATTTGATGAATATGATATATGATGGGTTACTATGAGTAGCATAGATGAAATTAGGTGATATTGACCAATTGTGTATTTTTAAAATAATTAAAGTAATTATTTAGAATCATTTTAGTTACAATAAATAGAATAATATGTGATGTAGAGAAAATAAGGGCATTGTGGTCATTAGTGAAGGGCAAGTGAGGGCATGATGGGAAGTTCATTATTAGGGGTCTAAGAGGGCAAGTTTGGTATAAGGAGAAAGTTTGGAATTTATATGATCATTCTGTGCGATCATGGAATTGGAATAGATGTTGTGGAGAAAAGAAGTCTAGGGCACAAGAGGCAAGAAAAGCATATGAATCTCGATAGAGCACGAAGAAGAATTGATCTCTAGAAATAATCTTAAGGTAATGGGAGTTTTATCATTGTTATTATATTTGATTTAAGATTTAGATGATGGTAAAACTGCCTTAGGTTTTGGTAGATGAGGAGTTGGTGTTGTTTGATGAGGAATTGATGAATTGTTGATGAATAATGACTTACAGTTGATGTATGATGAGTATAGAATTACATGATATTGATAGATGATGAAAACCTATGATTAGATGATGTTTTAGGACCTGTAATGTGATAGAATCACATGAGAATTGAACTGGTTTGTGCAGGAAACCGCAATAAGAAAACCCTGTTCGCGCAACATCGCCAACGTAGGTAGTGTCGTCGGGCGAAGACGCGTCGCCAAGAAAAATAGGCAGCGACGGAGAGCAGAAAAGAGTGACGCTTATGGAGTGCATCATTCCAAGCGTCGCCGGATGATGGAGGTGGCGAAGGGAGCGTCGCTAGGCGATGGAGGTGTTTCACCAGGCGATGATGTCCAGTTTTGATTGACTGTATTGGATTTTCTTAAAAGAGTCATAACTTGAGTTTTATAACTCGGAATGAGATGCCGTTCAAAGAGTTGGATAGATAACACAATGAAATTTATTTATGTGGAGTAAAATGAAGAATATTAAGTATATTCATAATACCTAATCTAGAATAAAGTTAGGTTCCCCATGTTGGATTATGGAGATGCTTGTTTATTAAGATGATTAGAAGATGAATAAAGGATGGTTAAGAGACATTAGGATGATACCTTATATAATATGATGACATGAAGATATGTTGTGTGATATGATGATGTTTGTCTATTATGATGACATGATAATGATATATGATGATGTTTCATTATGACGATGGTTACACGATGTTATGATGATATGATGTTTTATTAAGATGATTTATATGATGATATGATGTTATGATGATGATATGATGATGTAATCATGAATGATGATGCACGCTGACTGGCCTTGGTTGTGTTTATTATGTTGTTTCGCATCAGGCATTCATGACATATTTTAGTACTTCGGTCTAGTGAAGTTAGGACTTTGGTCTAGTGAAGTTAGGACTTCCGTCCAGTGAAGATGATAGGAAGTTTGTCCAATGAAGGCAAAAATCCAATAGTGTGGATTGAGTGCAATAGTGAAGTGCTATGGTTTC